AGAAAGAAAGAAAAGAATATGAATGAATGAATACAAAACCTATGAGAAAATATAATAATCTGTAGCCAGAAACAAGCCACACATTGCATTGTCTTATACTAATTACGTTTGCACAATGTTTTCTTTCAACATCAACACTGACATGTGTGRGCAAATTACCTAATGTTTCTTTGAGAAATCTACAAGGTTAAAATAGTTATTTTTAAGTTAGTTTTAAAGTGTAATTTACGTAAAATAAAAAAGGTTTTGGGATACTAAGTTTAAAGGTTATGTTTTATTTACAACACAAAGATGCTGTTGCTATTAGGTGACATGTGGGCAGTGAAACAATGCAGAAGAGCAGATTGCAAAATAAATAAATTCACATCTGTGGTGTGAACATGTTTAAGCTATTGAAAAGGTCTTAATGGCAAATAAATTGCTTGATAATTAAAATCAACATCACAAAAGCTTTGAATATTTACCTACAATATTTTTGCTACATCCTACAATGCAGCAGTGAAGTTTACAAACATTATTTTTCACGTTTTTTATGCAGCTGCATTTTTAACAAAACAATAGTTATGTTAAGTTCTCTAATTTTAAATATTAATACTTTTGTGGACATACTACTGATGAAGTTTTTACCCACATGAGAAGTGAATGACAGGTTTTAGACTAACGTTTTAAAACATCAGTGTCACTTTTAGTAGCTTCCTATTTTGACATCGTCACTTTCCACCTGCTAATAGATCCCTGCAGTCGTTTTTGTCGCTGATCTCTGCACCCCAGCAGTCAAGACATGGATGCACCCAACATATCGGCCTCAGTCTGTCATTCAAACAGGCAAGGACATTTTATGAGCCTCGCAACTTGACACAGAGAAAGAAGCGTGCTAAGAAAGCGTGCTTGTGTGTCACAGGCCGAGGAGAACCAAGTGTCAGCTGACTGCGCTGCTGCACAGGCCAGGCATTACCAACGCGTGTCACTGCGCCAACTGGGCAGCCACCATCGCCATTTAGCCAACACATAACATTACAGTGAAGGAACGTCAACGATTCAGCCAATAAACAGTGTGGATCACTCATTGAAAAAAACAAACAAAAAAAAAATAAAGACTGAATTGGTGACTTTCTGCACCTAAAAACGCCTTTTGCAATTCTATAGCTGCGTCAAAACGCAACTTCCAGGGTAATGATTACTCAGCAAACTACTTAATAAGCGTGCCTGATGTAGTGGCTAAGCTAGAGTTAGCATTGGTGCCGCGGCTAATCATCTGTGCTTAATTCTACTCGCTTGAACAGGCTGCAAATAAGGCTGTTGTCGCAACACTGCTTCGTGTTGACTACGCACCGACTCAGAAAGTCAAAACTAGGCTAAATATTAACCAGTGTACCGTTTACTGTCTTGGGTTAATTTTAGCTCCTGTGTCTGATAAATACTACTCATCCCGCAGAGAGGGGGGTGTACTGAGCAAATAGGTCTCTGGTGAGCAGAAGTCGCTTAGCCACCTAGCTAACTAGCTAAATGAGGCCTCACTCACCATGCCGATCGAGCCTCCCTCGCTCCCCAGCGGAGCCTCGTCCTTCCCACCGCTCTTCGGTCCGGGATCAGCCTCCTCCTGCAGCAGCGGCGGCTCTCCGCTCTGGTCTGAACTCATCAGCCGCTCCTGACTCACTTCCACCCCGTCGCGTTCCTCCGGCCCCACCGCCACCACCTCCTCCTCTCGTCACAAACGCCGGCTGTGTTCAGCAGTCAAGTCGGCTCGTCTCCTGGTCGCAGTGAGCGCACTTCGAAGTAGCTCCACTTGACTAGCGCGTGCTATGAATCAACGAAGCGGGCTAACGACAGCTAGCTCAATGAATCAAGCGCTCGCGCCGAGTTTACTAAAGGTAAAAGCGACGCGAAACCATGACTCGTCTTGAAGCGCAGTCCCCGCTGGCGTTTAGCAAAAATATTACACCACAGACCGGCTTCGTCAGACGCATTCCTAACCGGGCGACCGGAGCGGACACTGGGGACATGCAGCTTTCCTAAGCGCAGGCACACAGTCCGCCAAAGTCCCGGCTGGCACCGCGCGTTCTCAGTGACCTTTGAAGAAACTATTTCCTTTTCCGCTTCCTGTAGTTTTTCAACAATGAACATGTGTCCTGCACCTGTCCCAATCATTTTTAATTTAACACACATTTAGCATAATTGAACAAGGTTGATATTGCTGCAGAACGTTTTGTATGTTAATATTCTAAAGAGTAATGTGCAAAAGTTTTAAACCACTCGTAATTCTTTGTTTTTGTTTCCAAAGAGTCAGACATTTTGTAACATTTTTAGTGACCTTGAATAATAATGAGACAATAATGAAAAATTCAAGACAAAATCATTTAAAAATCCTGAGCTTTTGTTAAGTCACTTTGTTGCAGCTGTGGTTTTTTTTTTTAAAAGTTTTATAAATAGTAAGTCACAATTTTACAATTAAATAGTCAAAAACATTTGGTTTTATAC